GAGGAAGACAGCCACATGAGACAGCACAGTTGGGCCTTGAAAGATAAGCAGGGAATAGTTGTTCCCTGCAAAGAAGGACAAAGCATGTGGGGTTGGCGTGCACTGTCGGTGTGGTGGTATACAGGCATTCCCTCCAGCACTGCCAGTATTGCACCAGGAACTTCCTGCACTGAGGCACTGGTGGCACTCATTCTTATCCCTCAAGACCCATGGGACTTCTCAAGGTTGGTCTGGACCACCCTTGTTCCCAAGGGCAGGAACTGAAATGAGAGCAGCAAAAGCAACATAACCTAGGAAGGTGGTTTTTCTGCATGCTAGAATCAGCCTATTCATTGGAGTGGGGATGACCTGGTGTCAACCTCCATCTTCCAGATGAACAGATGGGTTTAGTATAAAATTGTTTAGTCATATTAATAGGAAGTACCTGTGACTCATTACTTTATTACTTATTACTTTGGGAAATGCACTGAGGGATACTGAGGTGTCCCAAGTCAGCTACCAAGAGCTTACCTGAATCACATTGAGCCACTGAAAATTCAGGTAAGAATGATATCTAGTATCCCTTTTTAAGCTTGGTACTGTCTTGATAAAGGTTGATGTGTGGAGCATTCCTATATGACAGACAGGCCCTCTGTGTGATGCCATGTTGGAGTAGAGAGGACATGCTCCAGTGTTTAGGGAAGGGTTCTGGGCAGGTGGGCGGGGATGAGTATATAAGTATATATATTCCCACTTTCTTTGCTCAGCATTTTGTGCTCCCTCAGTCAACAAAATGTGACCACTAAAACAAACAGCACAGTTATATCTGCCAATGGAAATATACTTAAAAGCTAATGAATAGTAACTGATTTTTTTGACCTAGTTCCTTTTTCTTAAGAAAAAAACAATTTTCACCTGGGTATTCGGCCTAACTATATAAGTGACAAAACCTTTGGAACTTACTCTAAATATTGAAGAAAGAAACCATTACAATTATAAAGGACCCCTGCTATGTGCCCAGATAGATCCCTTTATTTGGCTAGGAGGGTTACTGAGGATTGGGTGCCACTGAGCCACATCCCCAGCCCTATTTTGTATTTTATTTAAATGAGTCGGGGTCTCACTGAGTTGCTTAGTGCCTCGCCATTGCTGAGGGTGGCTTTGAAACTCTGAACCTCCTGCCTCAGCCTCCTGAGCTGCAGGGATTACAGGCGTGCACTACTGTGCTGGCTCCATTTTGGTATTTACCTTTCCAATGCCTGTTTTCATGCCCTCTCTGTGCAACATGTTAATTGAGCTTTCTTAAGACACCTTTAACTCTAGGAGACCAAAAAGCACAGTAAGCAAAGCTTTATGGATGCAGTGACTGGAAGGATCCCATCCCAGTTTCACCTGGGGGCTGAGGTTACAGTGGAGCACTTGTCTGGCATGTGCAAAGCTTGGGGTTTGATACTCAGCATGGCAAGATGATAAAGTTCCCCTGGGCATGCCGAGAAGATGAACTAACTACACGAAGCTGAAGCCAGGTGGTACAGGACTCCAGGGTCAGAAGAAGAGACTGGATGGAAGTGGAGAGTGCATATGTGCTGAGAGCTGGCTTCAGAAAAAGGAGCTGGTTTTGAGAGAGGAGTTCTGGATTCAAACTCCACCCCCAACACACTTACCAAAGTGAGTCAGCTACCAAGAGCTTACCTTTCAAGAAGGAACAATGACTCTGCTCCCGTGGGTCTCCATTGTTATTGCCCCATGTGGAAAGTCAAGCAAGACTAAAAGCCTTTGTGTTATAGTTTGTGTTCAGTTTATGAACACAAAAAGTAAATGCTACTATGTTTGTTCACTTTGGAAGCTGGCTTTCTTAAAGCCCTTTTAGGCCCTTGTAACACTGCACCAGGTTCTGAGTATTTCTGGTCTTGAGAGCAGAATCATAGAAGATGTGGCTTGAACCAAGGGGCACTACTCAGGGGCAAAGTGAGTTAATGGCACATTACTGACCTGTTTTTAAGGCTTGCAGAGACTGATATGTAGTCAAATATAATCAGGTGC